GTGAGTGGATTGTCTGAGCCCGCGGGTTCGAGACCCGCCTGGGCAGCAAGACCTCATCTCTGCAATAAATCAAAAAATCAGCCGGGCGTGGTAGCACATGCCTGTAATTCCGGCTACTGGGAAGGCCGAGGAGCCCAGCAGGTCGAGGCTGTGGTGGCCGGGAGCGGCCACTGCACTCCAGTCTGGGCGACAGAGTGAGACTCCAACTCAAAACAAAAACAAAAAAACTATCATTTTAAATGTTGTGACCTTCCCTTCCTTCCAAATGTTGCAACTGTCTGTCCCTTCCTCAGAAAGAAAAAAAAACCTGTAGAAGAACATAGTGCAAATTCCAAAATGTTATCTGAAATGTCAGCATGACCAGGAGACTTTGTGTCACGTCAGTGGCCACGTGGCGAAAACTGTTGAGGTAAATCGAGGGGTGCTGAAATGGCACAGGGGCTCCCGACGGGGTGGGCGACGAGCTGCAGCCTTGGGGTACAGATCCCGGAAGGAACCTGTGTGGCTTTAAGCCGGCTCTTGATAACGCTCCCTTTCCTCCCAGCCTCAGCGTCTCGTCTTTGGCTGCGGGGGAGCGCCTCCGAGGTATTGGATCAGACAGAAACCTCCCCAGGAGTGACCTGGGGAGTCGCCTGTTCCCTGGAAGACAGCCAGGAACAAACAACCGGGCGGGGACGCTCACACCTCCCTCACGAAAGATGGCCGATGATCCCAGGCACCTTAGTGGAGAAGTCCGTCCTTGCCCGGGTGGGTGGAGATGCCGCCTTTGTCATGCACCGAAGCCCCACGTGTTCCCACACCTGTGTCCGGGTGTTCTGTTTTGCTTCGGTTGGTCTGCTTATTCACGTGATGGTACATTTAACGTTTGGCAGAGTTTGGCCATGCAGACAGCTTTTTTGTGCTGTTTTCCTGGCTATTCACATAGATATAGATGTAGACACAGATATTTAATTTCAGTAGATTTAGGGGTCACATGGTTTTTGGTTATGTGACTGCATTATCTAGTGGCGAGGGAGTGTGGGCTTTAAGGTACCCACCACCACACCTGTGCACGCACTGTACTCAATTTCCTGGCTGTTTTTACTCGTGTATCTTTCCGTATGGAGTTTAGCATCAATATCTGTTTCTGTGAAAAAGCCTGCACCTATGTGGCTTCTTTCCTTTTGATAATTTCCATCTATTTTTCCATCTTTAAACAGATATGTAAGCCGGGTTTGGTGGCTCAGCCTGTAATCCTGCGCCTTTGGGAGGCTGAGGTGAGTGGATGGCCTGAGCCCGCGAGTTCGAGACCCGCCTGGGCAGCGAGACCTCATCTCTACAATAAATCAAAAAATCAGCCGGGCGTGGTAGCGTGTGCCTGTAATTCCGGCTACTCGGAAGGCCGAGGCGGAAGGATCGCCGGAGCCCAGCAGGTCAAAGTTGCGGTGGCCGGGAGCGGCCACTGCACTCCAGTCTGGGCGACAGTGAGACTCCAACTAAAAAAAAAAAAAAAAACAGAAAAAAACAAAACAAAAAACAGATATGTACATATTTATTACAAAAAAGCTACATTATAGAAAGAAAGGCCGGACACGGTGGCTCACACCTATAATCTCAGCACTTTGGGAGGCTGAGGTGAGAGGATTGCCTGAGCCCTCGGGCTGGAGACCAGCCTGGGCAACTTGGCAAGACTGCATCTATACAATAGATCAAAAACACAAAACAAACGAACAGAGAAAACAATCAGCCAGGCATGGTAGCGCGCACCTGTAGTTCCGGCTACTTGGAAGGCCGAGGCGGAAGGATCGCCGGAGCCCGGCAGGTTGACGGGTAGCCATGAGCTTGCTTGCCCCTGCACTCCAGCCTGGGCGACAGAGTGAGACTCCGACTCAAAAAAGAAAGAAAGAATAACAGAAAAACCACACTAATCCCAACACTCAGGTCAGGCGCAGTGGCTCACACCTGTGATCTCAGCACTTTGGGAGGTGGAAGCAGGAGGATTGCCTGAGGCCAAAGGTTTGAGACCAGCCTGGACAACATAGTGAAACCTCGCTTTACAGAAAACTTTTAAAAATTAGCTGGACATGGTGGTACGTACTTGTAGTCCAAGCTACTCAGGAGGCTGAGGTGGAAGGATCAAGCCCAGGACGTGGAGGCTGTGATCAAAGTGAGCCATGATTGTGCCACTGCACTCGGGCCTGGACAATAGAGCAAGACCTCAATTTAAAAAAATTAAAAATGCTAGCACTTTAACAAGACCATTATAACCATCGTTTTGCTACTATCTCTTTGATAGTTTCTTTTTTTTTGAGTTAGAGTCTCACTCTGTCGCCCAGACTGGAGTGCAGTGGCCGCTCCCGGTCACCACAGCCTTGACCTGCTGGGCTCTGGAGATTCTTCCGCCTCAGGCTTCCAAGTGGCTGGAACTACAGGTGCGCACTAACACGCCCGGCTCATTTTGATTTATTGTACAGATGAGGTCTTGAACCCATGGGGTGAGGCAATCCATTCAACTCGGCCTTCCAAGGTGCTGGAATTACAGGCTGAGCCACTGGGCCTGGCCTCAGAGTATATTTAAGTTATGACCAGATTTTGGCTATTGTAAACAATGATAAATATTGGTTGGTTTTAAAAAAAAATTTATGTCCTAGAGATTGACTCCCAGAAATGGAATCGCTATAAGATAAAAGTTGTAAGCCAGGCTCGGTGACTCAGCCTGTAATCCCGCGCCTTTGGGAGGCTGAAGTGAGTGGATTGCCTGAGCCTGCGGGTTCGAGACCCGTCTGGGCAACTTGGCGAGACCTCATCTCTACAATAAAAATCATAAATGAGCCGGGTGTGGTAGCGCTTGCCTGTAGTTCCAGCTACCTGGAAGGCTGAGGCGGAAGGATCGTTGGAGCCCAGCAGGGCAAGGCTGGGAGCGGCCACTGCACTCCAGTCTAGGAGACAGAGTGAGACTCCAACTCAGAAAAAAAAAAGAAAAAAAGAAAAAAAAAAGATAAAGGTTGTGTGTGTGTGTTTTGTTGTTGTTTTTTTTAGTAGAGATGGTATCTCATTCTGTTGCCCAGGCTGTTCTCGAACTCCTGTCCTCAAGTGATCCTCCTGCTTTGGCCTCCCAAGTGCAGTGCTCTGTAGTGCTGTGTGAGTAAGTTGATGCAGCAACTGCGTTGTCTTTTCTTTTCTTTTATTGTAGAGACGAGGTCTCACCAAGTTGTCCAGGCTGGTCTCGAACCCGCGGGCTCAGGCAGTCCACTCACCTCTGCCTCCCAAAGTGCTGGGATGACAGGCTGAGGCCCTACTCCCTGTCTGCGTTGTCTTTGAAAGGCGGTAGCCGGCGCGGGGCTCAAGCCTGTCACCCTAGCACTTTGGGAGGCGGAGGCCTGGGCAGCTTCTCTACAATAAATCAAAATATTAGCCGGGTGTGGTGGCGTACGCCTGCAGTTCCAGTTGCTTGGAGGCTGAACGCCTGAACCCAGCAGGTCGAGGCTGCGGTGGCCGTGAGCGTGCCAGTGCCCTTCAGCCGGGGCGACAGTGAGACTCCGACTGCAAAAAAAGGTGGTGGAATGGGGCGTCCTGCCTTTCAAAGGGACAATTGGGAGAGGCTCCTTTAAGGCGGTCTGCCCCGCCCCGCCCG